AGAGTACTGCTACTTCTGGGCTTGGCTTTTATGCAAATTAGTTCCCTTTTATTCCTACCATTCCATTCTTATCTCTTAAAACCCTTCTCCCCATCTGCAGCCCAAAGCTGCACTGTCTGTGGAAGGAGGCTGCTCCATTGTTATAGGCCAAGTATAATGTTCACAGCACAAAAGTGCATTAGAAAGAATTAGAAATGTCTTTGCAAGGCAAATAGGCCATGAGCTTCAGCATCTTCTCTCCAGCTAAGTTAAACCACACCTCTTCCAAACCTCAGTAACGTCAGAGCTGAAGAAGGATGTGCTTTTCATGTGCTTCAGTGTAAAGTTTAAGTCTGTGGAAGCAGAACCTGCTGATGAAGTTGGTTTCAGTTACCACACATGATGTGGTATTTTCCAACAGATTAGGGAGCACTCACACTTTCTGTTTTACCACCTAACTCACATGGGTGGCAGCCTCCAAACTGTAACTGGGATCTGTAATGGCTTCAAGTATCTTAAACAGATTAAGAAAAGAATTTCTGTCTTGAACGAGATTATCAAGGAGAGGAGTCTGACCATTTTCCTTTATCAACAAGCCTTATACTCTGATAAAAAATCATGGACCTAAACACTTGAGCACTCACAAAGTCTTTTAGGTTTTTGAAACATCATAATTTATGTCCCTTAATTTCTTGGAAAAGTGTCCTATATATAATGCTCTGAGACAGCCTGCGGGAATACCAGCTACTAATAACTGATAATGATTAAAATAAACTCATTCATTTTCTGAACAACAAACTGGACACATTTATAAGCCTTTTGGTAAAGGATTTATAATAGGAGGAATTTTCAAGGTATGTTGACTGTCCCATGACTTCCTGGGTGCAGACAAGATAGAGAGCTATAGGAAGAGTAAGGTACAGTCTTGGGATAATCTGAAAACTGTGCAGCACAAAATGCAGGGAACAAGGCAGCAGGAAGACTGGGCAGGGAATTTACTGGTTCCTCTCTCTTCCTCCTCTGTGAAGGCACCATGCCACCTCTGCCCAGCTGGAACAGACGGCTGCATCCACAGCTCTACCCTCATAAATATGGGAGAAGAACTGGGCAAAAGTCATGTCATAGAAAACAAGTGAATGGAGCAGCAAACACAGAAACACTGCAAAATGGAAAGGAGCAATTGTCTGTCAGGTTAGGAATAGGGTGGGTTCAGTTCCAAGTTCCTGAAGGTCATGACTTCAACCTCCCCATGTTAGAAGCCACAACACAAAGAATGAGCACAGTTTGAGTGACTGCAGCCCATCCCTTGCTGTTACAGTGAGGCCCATGGCATGCACAAATTTGATTCCCTAAGTAATGTATATGTATATGTTCAATTTTCAGAGGCCTCTTTTACCATTATGCTTGATCATTTGCCCAATTAAAAAAAAAGAAAAAGGTAATTAACAATTTCCTACAAGCAGCTTTGCTGAGCAATTTCCAGTCTGCAAATAATGTAAATGTACAAGACACCAACAAAGCAAACATCTGCATTTCAATACCAGGGAAAATGGTACAAAGTCTTAGAATTTTTAAAACCTAAATTAAGCTCACAGTAAATTTTTGTATATTTTTAATATTAAATTAATTGATCAAAGTTAAATCAGTGTAGAAATACTAAGATGGCTCTATACCTCAAAGTAATCACAGATCATCTGAAAAACAAAGCTCACTTTCTCAGTGGTTAGGCACTATTTTTACAGAAAGCAATAAAATTTCAGCTCTAGGAAGTGAGCAGTCATAAGCAAAACACACCTGTGAAGTGTTCAGTAAATTCTTGCTCTAGTTTCATGGCTCTCTCAAATGTCTTCCTGGCTTGCTCTTCTGTTAAGCGTTTATTCATTTCCCTGAAAGTGAAAACATTATACATATTTTAAACCCCTGTCAAATACTTGCAGTCTTTAAAGTTTTAAACTGTTGAGTATTAATCCTAATAAAAGAGTTAAGCCCTAAAGACACCATACAAAGACCAGTGGAAATGAGCTGTTCTGGCATTATGTTGGATGGAATTTAACACAATGACATTCATTTTCAAGCACTTTAATTTGGATTAGAAGCCCCATCTTAAAGTCCCTAAAGATTAAACTCAGGGAATTAAATATTATTTAAAAAGCAAACATTACAATTGTCTGCATACAACTTGTGGTAGGCTTTTCAAATACAACAAGTCTCAAACAATTTAGCCTGAGGTACTTTACTTTTACTCACATGATATTTTCCACTGTTTTGGGTTTAATAAAAATGG